TGTTGCCCAGGCGGGTCACGAACCCGCCAGTTCAGGCAATCCACTCACCTCAACCTCCCAAGGCGCGGGATTACAGGCTGAGCCACCGAGCCCGGCTCACAATTCTTTATATGAATTAAAATTATTGCTTTGTGTTTCATGTGTAAACAAAAGATATCTATGTCATATTTTATCTCTACATTGCTTCTTTCTATTTACTTCCCCATCTACAAGGTGATGATAAGGCTGCTTCTTTCAGAGTGATTATGAAAATCAAATTAAACGAGATAAAGCATTTAGAATAGGGATAGACATATAGTAAACACTCAGTGGATATTAGCTATTCTTGTTTTTATTTCTATTATTGTTATTTATAACTATTATTGTTATTGTTCATGGCTGCTCACTCCTCTGGGTGTTTGAGTTTCTCCGCTCCAAAGACTTCACTTGAGAGGTTTCCACTCATTTTCTGTCTGACGTCTTCCTATGCCATCTTGGTCTCAAGGTCATTTCCTCAGTGAGCACTGCCTTAACTTCCTTGTCTAGGTTACACCCTCTTCACAGGAGCACCCTGGGAGCCCTGCATGTCTCCCTCACAAGCCTTGACACACATGATGTCTTGTATGTCCAGAAGACCCCATGCTCCATAAGAGCAATGAGTTGCTTCTGTCTTGTTTTCTGCTGTATTTTGAGCACTAGCATCTGACCTATGGAAGGTACACGATAAATCCCTGAAAGAATAAATGATTCAGTAGAAAGAATGTCAAGGTCAGTAGCCAGCAGTCAATTCGGGGTCTAATCCTGGCTTTGTTACTAACTAACTAGAAGACCAGTCACTTAATCTCTTTAAGCTTCTTTTTATTTATAAAACAGGAAAGAGAGGACAAGATGGTGTCTAAAATTACTTTCACATCTCTATAGCACAAAGTTAAAGAGAAGTTTAGATACGAAACAAATGTCTAGTCTTCTGAGCATCCTACAGCTGCGTGGAACAATCTATACAAGAAATGCTCTGACATTTCTTCTTTATTTTCCATTTGAAAGGCTGTGATTAACCCATTACCTTACACATTTATTGCAACTGTCCCATGTACATGTTACTATATATCAAATGCCATGGAAAATGTAATAAATGGTAGCATGATACCTGCTTTCAAGGAATTTACAATCTAACTGAAAGAGTCTGCTAAGGCAAGGTGGGCCAGAGCTGGTGCAGGGGCCATGAGAATAACGCAAGATTGCAACCAAGTAACAAAGTAGAAAGAAGTAAAGTTTATTATTCACTTCTCACAGATTGGAAAGAGGGCTGACACTCAGAGGTAAGTGTGGCCTTGAAGGGCCATGAAATGGGTATATTTAAAGGTTTTGGGTAGGGGAATTTTGGCCTGAAGGAGTGTCCAGGGCTGCTGATCTTTGGGGTCTTTGATGTTGATTGTAGTCACATGAGTCTTCGATCTTGAGGTCGCAGGACATTATCATCTCCTACCCTCAGGTGGTGGGCTAGATGGGAGGAGACAGATGCAAGAGACTTGTTAGACATTTGCAATCCACAAACTCTTTGAGCAAAAGATGGTCTTATTATCATTTCTACGTCTTTGGCCACCCGAGGGGTGATCATTGCTCTTCTGCCTTGACAAGGAGCCGAAAGTTTACTAGAGATTATTAAGCTAAACCATGGATTGAAAGGTTGAGCTGTCCTGGTCTTGCATCTGATGGAGATTTGTTGAAGGGGTGGGGTAGGCTGCCGCTTGGCCTGCAGTAGAATGTCTGAACGCTTCCTAAAACCTGCCTATTGGAAATTTATCTAGGTCTAACCTGTGCTAGATTCAAAGCGTGTCAGTCAAAGCACAAATGGTTATGCTGAGGCAAAATGTGAACTAAGTTTATTCTAAGTTTCTATAGGTACCTCATTTCACTAACAAAGAGGTTTGTCCTCATGTGTTACAAAAGAAAAGATAAAGACCAAATGACTGCTAGAAATTCTACCACCAGCCAGAGAAGAAGCATCACCTATAGCTCTAGTAAGCAGAAGGGACTTCCTTGAGAGGATATGGTTTAGCAAGCCCTGATCGAGCTCTACCTACTAAGAGCGTGATGTCCCTAGTTCAACAAGTATTCGCGCAGCAAATGTGGCAGAGACTGTCATAAGACAAGGCAAGGGAAGTTGGATGATTTAGTTGAAGAATTTCCATGTCCACAGATGGAAGCTTCCATACAAGACTAAAAACGCTCTGACTGGAGAGTACCATCCCCCCACATAATCCTCTTCTTCCAGTGTGTGGAGACTGCATCTTTTGTTTAATTGTGTCTTCATTAAGGTTTGAGTATAATACTTTTTGGAAATGCAGACCGGCAGCTATGTTGATGAGGATTCACTCTAAATTCTCTTCCCGATTTATCCTCTAACAAACTGGACCCAAAGCTAAATTCAGCCAATCACACAATAGTTACAATAAGCAAAATGTTGGCGTCACTTCATCAAGTTTATTTTGAGTTCCTTGGCTTTTGGTCCTTTCTAGCAGTCCCTTACCCTTCATATCTTCAACCCCCAGTCTTCCCTTGTCCTCCAGACATACAGTGTCTTCACGTGGGGCCACCATCTCTTCTGACAGAATCAGCTGCCAGGAAATATTCTGGTAATGGTGAACTTCTCTTCAGAATAAATGAAAGCCCAATCTCAACCCCTTCCAGAATTCCTTGCATTGGAATTCTTGTCCCTTATTATCTCATGAAAGGTGTTGGGGCTTAACAAAAACATCAGCCCTTCTACTGGAATCAGCTTGTCTTATATATTATTATAATTTAAATTTGGAGATCCTGCCCAAGTAGCCAGAAATGTGTGCATGGCATTTAAACCTCTGGTTTATCCGAATTATCATCCATATCTAATTGAGCTGACATATTACTCAGGTTGTTAGAAATATGGCAAAACTTTGGCCTAGTCCTGGACCAAACATGCAGGGAATGCTAGCCATGGTCAAAGCATCTATGTGAACTTTCTTTGCAGGGTCCATGTGTTTTAAAAATAGAGACCCCCTCAAATCTCCGTACTTTAAAACCAAGTTATAATACTCAAAGAGGTCCATATAATAAAGCCATATCTAAACAAAAAAATGGGATTGAAGAATGCTTCCTCTGATGTCTGAGTCCATCATCATTCATTTTTATTTCAAGATTGTTGATCCAGTTGAACATAGAGAAAAAATGGAATGCTGTCAAATATGAATTCACTCATTCATTCAATGGATACATAATTAGAATTTACAGACGCCAGGCTGCTCCCCAAATCTCTAGACCCTGAGACGATGTCGCATGGAGGTGTAAAGGATAAAGGAGAGGTAGATTTCCCTGCTGTGCTCCCTCAATAATCTTTCTACCTACATCTGAGAAATTGCAGTCCTCTGATAAACAAAATTTCTTTTTTCTGACCGAGTCATGCTGGAAATGGAGTTTGCTAGGGTTTTATGACGTGGCTGAGAAGAACATAACTTGGAAAGTTGACCGTCTTGTGGGCTTCTGAGATTCCAGATTCCACCAGACCAGAGTTTTGTGCTCTACAACATTGATCTACAGCTATAGAATCCCCAAATGCACATTACACCCTTCAAAACCTCTCCTTCCCTTAAAGGACTGTGTTCTGCATAGTCTAACTCAGAAGCAGCTGAATACTTTGTTCTACCACCTCTATGGATGTCCTCTTTATTTTCTTATTCCTCTGGTAGGGAATCACGACCAGAACAGAGGTAGTTTGAGAGCCCATGATCAAAAGGTGTGCTTTTACAATTGGATTTCAACTAGGGCTTCGATTAAATAAGAAATATTCAGGTTAACCATTTGAAAGTGCCACGCTTACAGGTAAAAAATAAAATAGCCGAGTATCAGCAATTTTGCATAGTTCAATTCAACAGTGTACTGACTTTCAAATTCTGCGCTTGCCACATGAGGTTGGTGCTATATTTATCCACACATTCAGCAGCCTTGCATCCTGAAGGTCAATGGTTTTGGGTCTTCATGTGGTAGATCACATGATAAGTGAACACTAGACCCCAGTTATTCTGGGTAACACAGATCGGCTGTTTTTCAGAGGCAGGAACATATGGGAAATCTCATTCAGAGAAGATTGACACCCTGAACACAGCACACCAACTCCAGGAGGGTTGGAGTAGAAAACCTCTAAGTGCAGCTATATTAATAATCTTATTGTGTTTACATTTGTAACCAATTATAATCCTTTGTCACTAATTGTGATGTTTTATAACTGGTTTGAATTTTCCATTCTTTCCAGGAACAAATCCCCATAGTCTGCCAGACTGGGGGTTATGCCCATTTTTTCCTCCAAGAGTACGATGTTGACAGAATTCAGGACCCCTCAGGAATGAATATTAAAAAGTCAAAGAAGAGCCGGGCGTGGTGGCTCACACCTGTAATCCCAGCACTTTGGGAGGCTGAGGCGAGAGGATTGCCTGAGCCCATGGGTTCCAGATCAGCCTGGGCAACTTTGAAACCTCGTCTCTATAATAAACCAAAAAATAAACCGGGCATGGAGACGTGCACCTGTAGTGCCAGCTACTTGGAAGGCTGAGGTGGAAGGGTCACCTGAGCCCAGCAGGTTGAGGCTGCAGTGGCCGTGAGCATGACGCTGCACTCCAGCCTGGGCGACAGAATGAGACGTCAACTCAAAAAAAAGAAAAAAGAGTCAAAAAAGTGTGCTTAGTCTCGTGCTTCCGTAAGGCTGTCACTACGAGAAATAGTAGCTGGGTCATGATTCAGGACTTAGACAGCACAAGCATGTGATTTTGATAAAACTCAAAATCATTTTTAAGCCAGGTTCGGTGGCTCAGCCTGTAATCTCGCGCCTTTGGGAGGCTGAGGTGAGTGGATTGCCTGAGCCCGCGGGTTCGAGACCCGCCTGAGCAACTTGGCGAGACCTCATCTCTACAATAAATCAAACAATTAGCCGGGTGTGGCAGCGCCCGCCTGTAGTTCCAGCTACTCGGAAGGCTGAGGCGGAAGGATCACCGGAGCCCGGCAGGTCGAGGCTGCGGTGTCTGGGAGCGGCCACTGCACTCCACTCTGGGCGACAGAGTGAGACTCCAATTCAAAAAAAAATTGCACTTTCATACAACGCGTCTATCATTAAGCATCTGTCTATTCTCATGAGATTGCTAAAGCCCCCAAGTCTGAGAGGTTTTACAGATACCAAAAGAAGCCCTCAGGAAAATTAAAACCCATTTTTGAATTGTAGTTATTCGCAGAGCATGGTTTGTGGTTTTGCAATGACATCCCAGATACTAGTTGCTGTTCACGCAAATATATAGAATATTGGAAAATGATTCCCTGCAAGGAAAACTTTTCAACTACAAGGATATAGATACTGCACTTTTCATTAAATCCATTCTTATACTCCTGATCCCCTAGGAGCAAAAGCACTCAGTTGCATCTTCTTTTTTTTAATAAAATGCCTTCCATTATATTAGCTGCGTGGCTAATTTTATATACTTTCTCTCTTTCTGTTGTCTCTCTAACTGGTCAGACAAGTACGGGAGAGAACGCTTCCTGTATCAGGGGGAGTGTCGAGAGAGCTGCCCTTTGGGGCAATACCCTGCGCAGGGGCACACCTGCCTGCCCTGCCCTGACAACTGTGAGCTCTGCCGCAGTCTACATGTCTGCACAAGATGCCTGAGTGGCTACTACGTAGTACCCACCAACCACACCTGCCAGAAGTTGGAGTGCGGACGGGGTAAGGCTGCTCTGGGCCCTGGCCCAGCACTAAGAGGTGGGAGGAGGGTCTGTACCTGAATTTCCTTCCTGGCTTTAGTGTCGACACTTGAGATGCCTTTGTGTGAGTCTGTGCGTCAAGTGGGGGCCAGAAGTAGCTACCCCTTCTATTCCCCCATACACCTTTTCTGGGTTTCCTCAGACACAATCCAAGGACATAGGAGTGCACCTAATCATATAGAAAGTCATCTTGAGGCCAGGCACGGTGGCCCACGCCTATAATCCCTGCACTTTGGGAGGCTGAGGTGAGAGGATTGCCTGAGCCCGTGGGTTTGAGACCAGCCTGGGCAACTTGGCGAGATATCATCTCTACAATAAATCAAAAAATTAGCTGGGCTCGGTGGCTCAGCCTGTAATCCCGCACTTTGGGAGGCTGAGGTGAGTGGATTGCCTGAGCCCACGGGTTCGAGACCCGCCTGGGCAACTTGGTGAGACCTCATCTCTACAATAAATCAAAAAATCAGCCGGGCATGGTAGCACATACCTGTAATTCTGGCTACTCGGAAGGCAAAGGCGGAAGGATCACCGGAGCCCAGTGGGTCAAGGCTGCAGTGGCTGGGAGCGGCCACTGCACTCTAGTCTGGGCGACAGAGTAAGACTCCAACTCAAAAAACAAAAAAAAATTAACTGGGCATGGTGGCGCGTGCCTGTAGTTCCAGCTACTTGGAAGGCAGAGGCAGAAGGATCACCGGGTCCAGCAGGTCGAGGCTGCGGTGGCCAGGAGCGTGCAACTGTCCTCCAGCCTGGGCGACAGAGTGAAACTCCAACTCAAAAAAAAAAAAGAATAGAAAATCATCTTGAGTTGGGTTTGTGGTCAGGATATAGTGGAGAGAAAAGAAGATTTGAATCCAAAAGTCCTGACCAACGGTTTTCTCCTCCCAAGTACTAGATACAAGACTCCTGGTAAAACCCATCTAATTTCCCCATGCCTTAGTGTTTTCATTTGTGAAAAGGAGAGCACAGCGTCATGACAGAGTCGCTGTGAGAAGCCAATGAGAAGAGCCTACCTAAAGCTACTTGACAGTGTTAAAATGGTCTGTGACCTAAATATGTTGTTGCTATTGCCCAATTTCTTACCTTATATGGGGAGAGAAAAATGAAAAAACAACATTTATGGTTTTGGCTCTCTTCTATGTAAGAGAGCTACAGACTATTCCTCTGTTCTGTATAAAAATTATGCCCAGGCTGAATTCGGTGGCTCAGCCTGTAATCCCAGCACTTTGGGAGGCTATGGCTAGTGGATTGCCTGAGCCCGCAGGTTCGAGACCAACCCGGGCAGCTTGGCGAGCCCTCGTCTCTACAATACAATAAAAAATTAGCCAGGCACGGTAGCGTGCGCCTGTAGTTCTGGCTACTTGGAAGATCCAGCTGAAGGATCGCAGGAGCGCAGCAGGTCAACGCTGGGGTGGCCGTGAGCGTGCCACTGCATTCTAATCTGGACAACAGAGTGAGACTCCAACTCAAAAAAAAAAAAAAAATACTATGCCTGGTTTGGTGCTGAAGAGCACTCCAAGGCATTTTTAGAATAACTAACTCATCTCTTTTTCTATTTAATGTTTATGAATGTAGTAAAAGATTGGAAACTTTTTAAGTAAGCATTTAGTAGGACAGATTAAAAAGAGAGAAAGAACCTTATCATTTACATATCCAATTCCATGTTCCCAGAAGCAAAACTGATTACTTTAATAGATAAAACCTACCAGCTTGACTTCAAAACTAGTTTCATGGCATATAGTCTAACTTAGTACTATTGGAGTCCAATTAAGCTGATGCGGTCTGTTTATTTTTTTATTTTTGTAGAGACAGGTTAGAGTGCAGTGATGCTATCATAGTTCACTGCAGCCTCAAACTCTGGAACTCATGTGATCCCCTTGCCTTCATTTCCCATGTGCCTCCAAGCTCAGCTATTTTTTATTATTATTTTTTTTTTGGTAGAGACAGAGTCTCACTATGTTGTCTTAAGTTCTTGGCTTCCCAAAGTGCTGGGATTACGGTCACAAGCCACCATGCCCAGCCTCAATCTATTAAATTAATAGAAGGTAATTTTTAAAAGTGGATACTGCATATATTCTCAAGGATGGTTTTGGGTTTCATAATTGCTCTATGATTTACTTTAAAATAAGCTATACGCCAGCATATGTTTATGGTAATTCATGTGCCTCTGCTCAGTGGAAATGATTTATGTTTTTCACTCCTCTTGCTTTGTAGGTGAAGTCCAAGATCCAGACTACGAAGAATGCATCCCTTGTGAGGAAGGATGTCTGGGTTGCGGCTTGGGTATGTCCTCTTCTTTTGCCACTTAAAGAGTTGAAATAGCTGTGTCCTTTTCCACACATCCTCATCCTGCTATTGCTCCAGCAGAAACTCTTATCCTTGCTGTCATCATCATTGTTGCCATCAGCATCTGCTGGGTAGGCTCACTCCAAAACAAACAGGGTCAAGGTGAGGAGATGCTTGCTTTTGAGGCAATGAACAGGGTTTTTGTCTTTACAAAACTCTAGCTCAGGAAAGAAGATGGTGGCACCGTTTCCTCTGGTGTTAGCTAGTTGGCAGGGACTACCTATCAGCAACCATGTTTCAAGGTATCTAGGACTCAGCCACCCCTTATCTTCTCAAGGTGACAAATTTTGAAGACGAACAATGAATGAACTCAAGCAAAGAAATGCCTCATTACTCTAACTCACATGGTGTGTGAAACACAAAAGGTTTTGGATGGAGAGATGGGGGTTTTCTTTATTTAAAAAATTACTCTGGCTCAGCCTGTAATCCCGCGCCTTTGGGAGGCTGAGGTGAGTGAATTGCCTGAGCCCGCGGGTTCGAGACCCGCCTGGGTAGCGAGACCTCATCTCTACAATAAATCAAAAAAATCAGCTGGGCGTGGTGGCGCATGCCTGTAATTCCGGCTACTCGGAAGGCTGAGGTGGAAGGATCGCCGGAGCCCAGCAGGCCGAGGCTGCGGTGGCCGGGAGCGGCCACTGCACTCCAG